TAGTCGAATCTTCGTAACTCTTTCCAATCATGTTCCACAGGTCCCAGATTCCAAAGGAGACAACAGTAATCGTGTTATTCTGACGAGACGCGATCTCCTCGTCGGACAAAGTCTGCAGGGCTGCTCTCTCGGCCGTCGTCCATTGATTCACTTGCGCCTTGAAATCCGCCAAAGGTGACTTGTACAGATTGAGCATGGTGCCCGAGAGCTCCTCGTTGTCCACAACGGAGCCAATGTAATTTCCTCTTAGAGATTTTGCTGTTTGCGCCATGTTTTCATGGTGACATGAGTACTGAGTTTCATTATTAGCCCACCGCAACATAACGTCTCCGGGTGAACTTGACCAGGATATCCCTCACCATTGAGCACAGCCATTCAGTCCATACGGATCCCTGAATCTCGCCTGCATTGTTGTCGCTCCACGAATCACCAAAGACAACCAACCTCCGATCAAACGAGCCCGCGGCGTGGAACTCCGTAGCCGGTGAATGGGCCGGAACCACTCGGCGATAATAGTGCTGCGAGGCGAGGAATAATGCAGAGACCAGAATGCTACAGACAGCCAAGACGCACAAGGCGTAGAATCTGTTGAAGAGTCTCATCGCGATCAGCCGTCGAGGCCGAAACCGACAACAAAGCAATCCCAAGATGCGACGGGGAGGCTGTTCTCAATAAGTGTCCGTCGATCGGCGGTCCTCTTTGTTCTGCCTCCTGAAAGACACCCGGGACGATCGGGGGTAAGAACGAGACGGGAGACGCCAATATTGAGTGGCGTAATGGGAGACAGGTCCCCTAGGATGGATGCGCTATTTCCTCCGTTGACAAGCCAAGCGGTGTCAATTAACTCGGGGATACGGAGTAGATTGTTATATACTGAGACAACGGTCCAAGGGGAAGAAGGCAAGGAAGATGAGGATAGGGATCAGTATTATTCTTTCCGGCAGTACCGTGCCGTTCTGGGACTGGAGAGCACAGGAGAATTTAGCGTGCAATAATTAGCAAGTTCGGAGTTAGCCAAGTGGGGGTGGAAATGGATCAAGTGTCCCAGAATTGGCAGAATTCGCAGAAATAATATGAAAGTTATGAAGGCGAAACGCCAAAGAACAGCGGGAATGAACCGAACAATGATCTGCTAGAAGATAGGAGATAGGCGATTGCGATATACAACGAAGGAAAGGGGAGAAGAGGGCCTTACGTATAAGGGGGACGCTGTCTAGGGAACGAAATTTGATTATGACAACATCAATTTGATTAGATCACACCAGTTAAACACGCCTAAGCAAGTTCAATTTGGCTGGTTATACGGAATTGAGTAAAGGCTCCAACAAATTTCAAGACAATTAACTGCCTATCTTACAGTGCAAACTACTCCGTACAGAGTTCACCTATCATGCTGCGCCTCCATAAGGCTGGCCGCGCGGCAGTGGTTACAGTAATCTGTCGCGTGCACAACATCCTCTCTGCAGGTCTCATCTGACCCGCATGTATAGACAGTAATGCATTTGTTATATCTTCAGACTCATGAAATATTGATAATGACCAGGTAATCAAGTTTCTATAGCCTCGATTTTATCTTCGTCTCCGAGAACTATTTCATGGATGCAAAAGTTGATGACGACTTGGTGGTTTGTGTCCACTATCTACTTAGGTACTCCCCTAACTAGCACTTACGTATCTGGTTTTATTATTTTTGTGCTGCCCAAGTTCCCCAGCTGTCTCGGCCCTTGCAGACTCCGCTGGATATACTTTTCATCTCGCAATCATCCGCAGGAGGTCCTCATTCTTGTTAGATCGCCTATATCACGAAGGAAGAGTATCAGATCCGCTTCGAGGTTCGATCTCTTCTCTGCAATCTAATTCGCGAATAAATGCACTGGTCGAGTTAAGGAGCTGGTATGCTATTGTGGTCTGAGGAGCATAAGTACTTCTCCAAGCTGACGATCATGGGATGCCCTCGGTGTTAATGCTACTTTGGACCAGAACCTATCAGGGTATATGCTCTCAACTCTTGTTGGGTATGCTAGGCCTCAGGTACCAAAATGATGGCACAATCTTAGCCTGATATTGCTACATAAGAGTCCATCGATAATACGTAGCAACAGAACAGACTCCGATAATGACATTGGTTCGTGCGACAACAGCAGGATTGTATAGTCAGGGAGAGCAGAGGTGATCTATCCATCTCCGAACACCTAGTGCAATTCGATCAACCTCTATGGCTACCATCTGGGATCGGCCATACCAAGGTTCGACAGACCTTCGATATACGAACCATTGGATCATTCGAAATGGTTCAACTCAAGCCCCAGGACTATGGTAGACAACGTATTTCCCGGAGAATGAGACTTCATGCCCTGTTTCATAGATATCAGTCCATAGGTGAAGCTATCCGCGATTCTGAGTGGATGCCTGAGGAATCAAACACCGTCTGTCGCTAAAGATGTGACCACAATCTGTAATGTCTTGATGTCCATCAAAGAACTGAGATATGGGGCGTGAGATTGGAGGATTAGTACATTAAAGGACCCAAGAGACATTCAGACTATTCTTGCTATAAGATTGATCTCTTCTACGACGACGAAGAGCCAGCTGAAGATGGAAATCGGCGGGGCTGACATAAGAAGCCCTACCGAGAGGCGCTGTACCCGACTCGGCTAGTGCACCTTAGTCAGCCACCCACACAGGGAAATCTCGCTACACCACAGCAAAAAATCCCACGAAGAACGAACCTCCGACGACCTGAACCTCCTCGACCTGTCGACAAACCCGCGCCTCCGTCTTGACCGCGCAGACCCGTCAAGATGAAGCTCAACATCTCCTACCCGGCCAATGGGTCGCAGAAGATCATCGAGGTTGACGATGAGCGCAAGCTTCGTCCCTTCATGGAGAAGCGCATGGGAACCGAAGTTAGCACACCCCCAGACCTAATTTGCTTTGCGTATCCGGCACCTCGAAACCCTACAAGAGAATATTATTTCAGCCGGAAGAGAATTGGATATCGAAAGGAGAACAGAAGACTGATTGGGGCTATTTTTCTCACTAGATTTCCGGCGACTCCCTCGGTGATGAATTCAAGGGTTACATCTTCAAGATTACCGGTGGTAACGACAAGCAAGGTACGATTCGAAAATTCTGCTTGCCCGAAAGCAAGCAGTCATGGAACGGCGACAGAAGGATTTGGTTTGCTGACAAGCTACATCTACAGGTTTCCCCATGAAGCAGGGTGGTATGTAGCGACCGCAGGAATCGACAACAGGCACAAATCAGAAACTTACCGATATCACCAGTTCTCCTTCCCACTCGTACCAGACTCCTGCTTTCCGATGGCCACAGGTAATTACGCACCTGCCAATATCGAATGTCTCCAGAGGAATGCGTCGCTGACGAGTCATTGCAGCTGCTACCGCCCTCGCCGCACTGGTGAGAGAAAGCGCAAGAGTGTCCGTGGTGGTATGTCTCGAACCGTCCTTCAACCAGAAACACCCAGAGAAAAGGAAATATGTAGTTGACACATGTCATTGCAGCCATCACCAACTTCGACCTCGCCGTCCTTGCCCTGAGCATCGTCAAGCAGGGTGAGGGTGAGCTCCCCGGTCTCACCGACACCGTTGTCCCTAAGAGACTCGGTCCCAAGCGTGCCACCAAGATCCGCCGCTTCTTCGGTCTCGACAAGAAGGACGACGTCCGCAAGTTCGTCATTCGTCGTACCGTCACCCGTGAGGGCAAGGCCGACTACACCAAGGCCCCCAAGATCCAGCGTCTGGTTACTCCCCAGCGCCTCCAGCGCAAGCGTCACAGGATTGCCCTTAAGCGCCGTCGCGCTGAGGCTGCCAAGGAGGCTGCGTAAGCTCCCCCTTTTTCCTTCAGCCCCAACGCTCGTTGGGAATCTGCTCTCGCTAACATTTCAAACAGTAACGACTACGCCAAGCTTCTCGCCACCCGTGTCCACGAGGAGAAGGCCAAGCGTGACGAGCTCCGCAAGCGGAGAGCGTCTTCGATGAGAAAGTAAATGTTTTTTCTCCGGGGGTTAATGGTCGGGTTACGTCTCTATTATGGCTAGGGAAGGGGGGTTTTGAGTTCAACGCAGGGGCGACCCAAGTGAAAAAGAAGGCCCTTGGGGAAAGAGCGTCTGCGGAACCGGGCCACTTTGGTGTGCAAAACTAAAACTCAATTCTAAGAATTCAGTCTCACGGAGTGAATGGGAAAAAATGTTAAAGAATTCATGTTCCTACTTGCTTGAGTGCCTCTTCTCAGCCATCGACAAAGGTCTTTCCTTTCCCCCTCTCATCACTCCCGTCAGCATGGCATGGTAACGGTTCCGCGGGTTGCTTAGCACTGCTTACCTGAATGAAACGAAGCTCTTTCTTTCTTTGATTGTCTTTCCCCTAGAATGTCTGTATTCCCATCGCAATCTGATTTATTCCAGCTTCACAACACAACTACCGTCGCATAAGGTAGTGTACGTATCATGGTAGAACCTCAGCTTACCACGCGCTATGACACATTGCGTGCGGTTCTAGGCTCAGCATTCTAGCATTACTTGAGAAGAAATTCCTATCGAAACAGGTATCAACATGATTAGCCATTTAGCTCCAAGCAACCAAACTCCATATCCTCGGTAACCCCCGTGTAAAAAATAAATTAGGCATCAAAGCAATCAAAAATGCACCCGGCAGGCGTTCAGTACTCTATATGTACAGATGTGTAAATTCAAATTGAGAAGCAAAGTGCCTACTTTTCCCTCCAGCCATTCTCTTGTGTCTCATGCATCATGTCCAGTATTCATGTTATAAATAGAAAAGAAACGAAAAACCCAGGCTAACATGCCTTACAAAGCTCGACAAAAACAGAGAAAGCTGATTGACAACGTCCGTAGAAGAAAAAGCAAACGCAGTGATAGACAGAGCAGTCAAGAACAAGAAGCCAACTTCGACCCGTCATATTGAAAAGAACTGGATTCTCTCTTCGATGACTTCAAAATTCCCCGATTCTGCCCAATTCTACGCAACTGCGTGCGAGAACAGGAAACTGACTGATTCACCATTGTGTGTGCGTCTGCAAGCTTCCGCCAACGTAGGGCTGATATCAATCGTGTCAATCTTGTCGCACATCTCCTTCTTCTCCTTGTGGGGCACTGTGTTGGTCACAACGAGACGGTTCAAGCAACTGTTGTTGATGTTCTCAATGGCATTGCCGGAGAGAATGCCGTGTACGACAATGGCGTTGACTTCCTTCGCACCGTGCTGCATGACAGTGTCGGCGGCCTTGACGAGAGTACCACATGTATCAGCCATGTCATCAACAATAATCGCAATTTTGTCTTTGACATTTCCAACGAGAACCATTCGCGAGACCTCGTTGGGACGAGGACGTTCCTTGTGGATGAGAGCGAATTGCAGGTCAAGACGGTCTGCAATCCCCGTAGCACTATCGATGACACAAGTCAACACCTCCTTCCCAATCACAAACTCAGGTAAAATAATCTTGCTTACCGCTTCGCACCACCGGCATCGGGACTGACGATGACGCAGTTCTTCACATCCAAGTGTTCCCGGATCCACTTCAACATGCTAGGCTCGGCATACAAGTTATCAACAGGGACATTGAAGAAACCCTGAATCTGACTGGCGTGGAGATCCATGGTAATGACATGGTTGCAGCCGGCGGTTTGGAGCATGTTCGCCATCAGTTTCGCGGTGATCGGCGCACGGCTCTTGTCTTTCTTATCCTGGCGCGCGTATGGGAAGTTGGGGATGACCGCCGTGATGCGACGTGCCGAGGCAGTCTTGCAAGCGTTAATCATGATAAGAAGCTCCATCAATCCGTCATTGATATCGTTGGGTTTCGTGGACTGCAAGATGAACACTGCGGGGAGCAAAAGGCGCAGGTTAATTCAATGTCCCGAAGCCATCGCCTGTACCACCGGACAACAGGAGTGGGAGACAGTACCATCCTCGTCTCGTACACTTTCACCGATTGTGACACTTGTTTCCGAATTCGAATACTGCAGGACCATGATCTTGGTCAACTCGATGCCGAGCCTGCCATGAAGAAACGCTGTCAGTCACCGCACCGCAAGGTAAAACTTCTCCCTGAAAGCGCATACCGAGCAGCAACGAGGTTCGCAAGTTCAGGATGACTGTTACCAGTCAGGAGCTTGATCGAGTTTGTGGCCATGGTGTGAAGGCTCAATTTCACTGAAAACGGTGACAAAAAAAAGGCTTCAATCAGATCCGGGTTAATCGGCGGACAGCAGCTGGAGGATATATTTGGCGGCTAGAGTCGAGAACAATAAGAAGGTGTATTCAGAACAAAAGACGTAGAGCCATGCTAGGGAAAGATCTAATTTTCGGTAAATGCAAGGATGAAGATCTAGATAAAAGCCCCGCGGGCAACCTTTGATCGAACTTTTTTTCCCCAGTAAAACCATTGCTGTCCCGTGACTTCTGCATGCCTGCCCCACTTCGACTCACCGCCTTGTCCGGAGATAAATGAAGCATTGCAAGAGTAAATCATCTACATACCCAGATTGACTGAAGTCCGGAGGCCAGAGATACGCATCGCATCCTTGGTACCATATCACATAAAAGCCGAATAATGCGTGAATAACAACGATACGCTCAGACAAAAGATGCAGAGCTGCTCCAACAGCCTGATAATTGTGGCCGATAACCGTCAGATAAGAGGAGATACCTCTCTTAAGGTCATGTACATATTTTGAAGGGTCCTCATGGCAAGCTCTGATGCCATTCTAAGATCAAGGACAAGGACAAAACCCCGTTATGCAGAAAAGCCTTGCAGGAAGTCCAAGTCCTACGGTGAGTGAGTGGGACGAAACTGCTTTTTTTTATTCTAAAAGATCCGAAACTACATACATGAAAAACAACCCGGTGGAAAGGTAACAGAGCACATGGATGACCATCAGAGATGGGCTTTCCTGTTCCTTAACAGAGATCTGGTTGACCTGCACTTCAACCAGTACCTTGATAAGAAACCGTCCAAGTCTCAGGTCGTTCCCCCCTGCAGTGCCGTCCCCAGAATTTGATCAGCGTAAATAATACACACGAGCACAGAAGAAGGAAAAAAAATATCTTGAACGCCGTCAAATGCTTGAGCATCAGAGAGAATTAAAAAGAAAAAAAGTTTTAGAGGACCAGAAGCCATCATTCGACGAAAAGGCCATCAAAAGGAAAGAACCACCAGTCTATGCAAATCCGAAATAATCACTGCCAGCCGTCATTGCAGTATACAGACGCTGTCTCAAAGTCTCGTAGCTTTCATATTCTGGAAGATCAAGTTCTGATTGCTCAAGTTAGTCCCTGCTTGCCATAATCTCAATTTCGTAGCGAAGACTTACGGTTGAAGCATGTGTGCGAGCTTGGAAGACGATCCTTGTTGCCATAGTCGCGATGAATATTGAACTTGCTGACCCCGTTCATGCCCTCAAGTTCCTTGAAACCGTTGAGTGGCACTTTGCTTGTTCCTGTAACGAACTGCAGGAGTTTGGCACGTTCTTCCTTGTCAAAAGAGCGGACGGCACGCCAGAACCACTGGATTTGCGGTGACGAGGCGGAATAGTTATGATACTCAGTGTTGGCTTTCCAGTCGTCCACCTCAATCTCAGGAAGACCGGAGATGAGAAGTTCAAGCTCTTGTTCGTTGAAGATGGAAATCAGGTCAGGAGCAATGATTTCGTGGAAGCCTATAAAGATAATGAGTCTTTGATGTCATGATTGAATTGAACAAAGGGGGGGGGGAAAGAGGAAAATGGCATACCTTTCAGGAAATTGTCAAGCTGATCCTTGACAGATTTGACCAAACGGTAATCCACCACACGTTGAACGTATTCCTCCTTATTTTCCTGAGTCACTGGGATGTTGCGGCCATTCTCTACCAGATCAATCACCTGCTTCTCGCCAAAGTCATCAGTTTCGACGGCAAAAGTCTCGGTGATGATGTCGGTAATATCGTTCTCAAGCATCCAGAGAAGGGACTTGTAATAATCAAGGTCAAGCGTTTCCATGTCCTTGATGGAGACTGATCGGCCGAGAATGCACTTGTAGACCGCTCGGCTGAAATGGCAGTCGAGAACGCGCCCTTCGTAGAGAGCTTTGCCAATGATGCGCCCAATGAACTTGAAAAACATCAGGTGCTCCGAGTTGACACCACTCAGACGATTTGGATGGAACGTGGTCCGATCAGCAGCAACGGGAATGAACAAGGCGTAGTTGGGATTGAACATGCCACGAGCAAGAACCTGGAACCATTCTCTGGTCACACCTCCGGCATCGACGCCTTCCTCACCATGGAAGCGCACGTTCAACTTGCCGTACTTCAGCTCATCCGCCGTCTTAAAGTACAGAGACTTGAAAGAATCAAGGAAAACTTGGTCTCTTCTAACAGAAAGTTGAAGAGGAGGATGAGGGTGGCGAGGCTCGGCACCACGAGAATGAAGCTTGCGAGTAAAGTAATTGCGCTTGTTGTCAAATTCCAGAACCTTGGGATTTTTGACCAACAGAGAAAAGCTGCCACTCATCAGTCTAGGATTCTGACGGACAAGTTCGTTCAAAATCTTGCGATGATCTTCTGTGAATCTGAAAAACAAGCCTTCCATATTCAAACCGGCGTCGGCCGAAGTGGTAGACACAGACAGCTCTCGGCTGTTGCGAGCGATGGAAGTGTCTTTCAACGTGGTGTTCTTGCACACAACCATCAACGCCTCAATCAGAGGTAGGAGAATAGTGGCCACGTTCAGCATATTCTCCTTTTGACGGATGACGGTCAGGCATTCGCTCAGTTTAGTCCACAGAGGTCCGAAAGTTGAGCTCTCATACAATGTTTGCAGGACATCCTCCTTAGCGGTAGAGTCAGGTTCAGGCGCCTTAACCTTATCTGCACGATTGGGATCGAACAGATAGTCCAGTGCCGTCAAGACACGCAACAATTTGGCTTGGTCTGAACTGGCTGGTGAAAACTTCGCCAAAGCCAAGCCCTGCATGTCTGTGCCTGTTCGAGCTTGGTGGATATGAGATAGAAGTTCGTCCAAATCAGTCAAAATCGTGGTGCAGAGGTTCAGGGCCTGATTGACAAGTTCGTTGCCAATGACGTCCCTAGCGCCCGGAATAGCCGAAAGATTATTGATAGTCGACAGCGTTTCTCTGAAAGTTTTTCCGTTGCACTCTCGAGCAGCCAAAATGTGGACAACCAAGCGAAGATTTTGATCAGGAACAACAGGAGGCTCAATAGTCTTTCTCTTCGGCTTCTCATCTTCCACTGTCTCCTTTGCTGCCTCGGCCTTGTCTGCCTCGACCGGCGCAGCATCTCCTTGTGCCGTGGTCTCAGCAGCTTGCGACTCTGCACCTTCAACAGTAGGGGAGGGTGCATCAGTCATAGTTGCGTCGGTGCCAGCTGTCGGTTCCGTAGTTTCACTGGGTTGTACTGCATGCTCTTGGTCAGCGCTAGGTTCCGCCAGCTGCGCCTGCTCCGGCTTTTTGCCTTTGTCTTCTTCTTCTTCTTCTTCTTCTTGTTTTTCCTTCTCACGACGAAGAAGTAAGGTCAGTGGCTGCGTAATGCTGTTCAGTAAACTCGAAAGTTGTTCCATGCAGTTCGGGTTTTCCATGATCAAGCTGCGGTCAAGTAGATTGAGAAGAGCATTCAGAGCAAATTTGTTAGCCTTAATTTCCTTGCCTTTGCCTTTGCGGGATGGCTTCAGTTTCAATGTGGAAGCGGGATCATGCTCCGTAAGGAAGAACCACGCAATGTGGGGATTGTACTGGGATAAGAAAGAAAGAGTGCCCAGGCATTGCTGCACAACCATGATCGGAGTAACTTCGCTGCTGACACTCGATGAAGTCTGGAAAGCCATGTTACGTTTGACGGACTGAGGAGTCTTCTGGACCGAAGAAGGCTTTGCACGTAGAGAAAGATGAGCGAAACTGCGTTCAATCGCCGAGACATCTACACTCCCATCTTGGAGGATAGACAGAAGAAGGCTAATGACCTCAATGCGATTTTGACGATTTTCGCACACGTTGTGAAGGATGTCGTTCAATTGATGGCGCGCATTTCCTTGAAGAGGCATGAACATCAGACGTAGCAAAGTAGCAACGCCAGCTTTATCAAGCATTTGGACAATCTGGCGTCGTTGTGGCTTCTTGGACTCTTGATCTTCAGCTGGCTCATTTCTAGGACGATGATCAGCTCGGGTAATATCGCCAAATTGAGCCAATCGTCTTCCTGGCAAAGCGCGTGCCTCAGTAACAAATTCTGGACCTAGAGTAGCAAGAATTTCCTCGGGTTGGTCCGCAAGTACAGCTTGTCGCAAGGAAGGATCCAGGGTAGCAAGGAAGCTGGCAGCGTCCATATCTTCGGCGTGAGCTGGAGCATTGCCAGCCGCCGCCGCTTGCCTGCGTGCGCTCTCGCGCTCTCGGCGGCGACGGTCAGCTGCTTCTTGCTGCAAAAGTTCTTCACGAATATCCGGAGGCAACGCCTCCAAGAACTCCTGGTTAATTTCGCTGGGCTCTTCGCCAGCTGCGGCAGCCTGCGAACGCTGTTCCGCGAGTTGTTGCATGATAACCTCTTCCCGAAGCTCTTCAGGCAGTGCCTCGAGATACTCAGGATCTATTTCCATGCCGGTAATATCAAGCTGACGGCCCCGGATTGTTGTGTGCACTCGACGAGCAGGCTCGGAAGGGCCGGCTTCAGGCTGGATCGATGGTTCAGCGGTCTCATCGGTAGCTGTTTCTTGAATGTCGTCCATTGGCTCGGAGACGATCCCTGCGGCTTGACGCTCTGCCTCTTGCTGCTCCCTTTCTTGCTGACGTCGAGCGTTTTCTTCCTCCTCCTTTCGTTTACGCTCTTTTTCCTCTTCCTCTCTAGCGATGCGCTCTTGACGTTCACGCTCGGCCCGCTCTTCCTCTCGTCGCTTGCGCTCCTCTTCCATCTGTTTCTCACGTTGCTTCTCTTCCTCAATCGCAGGCGGAACAAGGATCTTCAGTAGAGAATTCACGACACGCTGTGTCTTCTCGACGTAAGTGCTGCTGAACAGGATGCGAGCCTCCTCTTGCCAGCGACTTCTAGTAGTGGCCAAAGCGAAGCTTACGGCCTGAGAAGGATCGTCGCGAGTCCGAGCCGGAGGAGCTTGTGGTCTGCCAAGGCCGAAGATGTCTTGAATACTA